ATTTTTTTACTTTCAATGGTTGAGATTTATTAAAATTAGTTATCTTTTTTATCTAAAAAGTTGTGATAAATACCAATCATTAAAAGTAAAAAAATAAATTATTAAGATTATATATGTAATATGTACGAATTTATGTGTAAGTGAACTAAATTTTTTTTTGGAAAACCTATCTAGAAGCAAACGTTCTAATTAATATTTTCAAAAACTTATCGTTGAATTTAAAGTTTTATTCATATAAATCATATATGTTAATTTTCATATTAATTTAACACTTATAGCCAACGTTTTAAATAACTTAGTGGTCATTTCCTTCTGTTGGAAGTAAGAGATCCTGAGTTCGAGTCGTATAGTATGTGAGTGATGTAGGATAAGGAATAGAAGATAATTGCCTCTCATTGTGTAATCAAAATAAAAAATAATAATAATAACGCTTATAACTCTTTAATTAAAGAAACTTTATTTACTAACATATATTTAATTATATTAAATTTTCAATAATTAATAAAGTAGTTAGGCAAACTAGAAAAATTTGACAATTGACATACATGATCTATATAAGTAAAACTTTCAATTTAATGGTTGGTTTTAAAAATATTAATTAAAAATAAATTTTTAGAAAGACATAAAAAAATTTAAGAGGATTGCTTGTAAAATATATTTCTATATATAGAGAGAATAGTACATATTAATCATAATTCTCAAAAATATCACCCTTTGATGAATATTTTTAAAATTAACTATTAGATTTAGTGTTCTATTTATACAAATCATACAAATCAATTTTCACATTAATTAAATATATATAACTAGTTCATTGATTATAAGAAATTTATTACAATTAAATATATATTAGAAAATACAAGTTTATTAATCAAATGATTATAAATGTTGGATCAACTTGAAAATTGACCTACCTAATTTATATCAATAGAAAATTAAATCTAATGATTAATTTTTGAAAATATTTATTGAAGAGTTGTATTTTTTAAGTTAGAACTCTAATTTTTTTTTATAAAAATCAAGACTAATACATACTTTTCATAATATATATATATATAAAGTACAAATCAATTCTGATTTTCAAAAAAAAAAAAATTGGAGTTTCAACATTAAATGTTTTCGATTCATCTAATTAAAATTTAATTCAAAATTTAAAAATTTAACTTATTAAATATTGATATCTGAATTTTGAAACTAATTATTTATTATAATATAATTAGTTTCCAAATCTATGTATTAATATTCAACAAGATTGAATTATAAATGTTGAATTAGATTTTCGGTCTTAAATATATATAGAAATTAACATTTAATAAGTTGAATTTTTAATT